TAGAGTCACTAGATGTAAATATTATTAATCGAAATAAAATAATAAAATAATATATTAAAAATAAACTGATTTAGATCCAAATCTACTGTTGTTTTCTATCATTCTTTTGTTCTTTCAGAGCATCAGATTTATTTCGTTTATTGCTCTTATTGCTATTTTTTGGTAGTTCATTATTGGAAAAGACTCTCTATCCAAAATATGACGTTTAATGGACTTCTTATTACTGGTTATATTAATATTACTATTGGAGAATTATATTAACGTTGACAATAGTAAATCAGTGACAAGAAGGTAAAGAAGAAAGAAAAGTGTTTAAAAGAAGAAAAAAAGTGATTAAAAGAATATCTACAAAAATGTAGCTTATTTATACGTTTTGAACGCATATCAATAAGTATACTTTTGATATTATAGTTAATACAGTAGTAATGAGTATGACGACTGATACTTTTTTAATACAAAATTTTTTGTAGTATGTCATTGATTAATAAATAATAATTAAAGTTCCTTTCTTGATTGATGATATTAATGCTGATTGACGTATTCCATATGATTTTTTTTTCTCACTGATTGATGATATTAATGTTCTTACATTGATTGATAATATTATAATAATTAATCGATATATAAACCCTTGATGACATTCAAAAATTTCACACGTTCAAAAATTTCACAGAATTTAAACTTTATCATTATATATTATTTTTTCATCAAAATAACAAGATCGAAAAAAAATTGTATTAATAAAGATTGCACAAAAGACATTAATATTAATCATAGAACAAGGAAATTGGTTGAATGTAAATGTATATTGCATTGCCATGGTAGTAAATGGGTTGATCCTAGAACATTTGAAAGACATCAGCGAAAAATAGATCGATTTCATGCCATTACTTCTGAATCTCAGGATTTTTCACAATTAAAGAGTATTAAGAACAAACCGGTTGATGTAAGAATATTATCATCAAAAAAAAGAAAAAAGCAAAAAGTTATATCAGAAAAGTTGGACAAGCTGAAGAAAATCAAACTTCATCAAATAGTTATTCTTTTGATGATGAACCAAATTCAATAACTGATCAGGAGTTGATTGATGTTCCAAAGAAATGAAAGCATTATAATAAGTTTCATAATATGATTTCTGATCAGAATATTGAAGAAGATTTTGACGTAATGATTGATAAGGATTCTACAGAAGATGATGGTTAGAGCTTGAACGAAAATGAGATTCCGTTTGAACAATTTACTGTTTCTAATATTGAAGATTTGAATCAGAAACTATTGACACTAATAAAATTGATAATTCATGGATATTGTTATGGATTCTCAAATTCCAATCTAGATTTCGCCTTTCAGATACTGCTATTGATTCATTAATTAAATTTATCAAAATAATTCTAATTGATGAAAATTGCAAAAAGTTTAAAGATTTTCCAAAAAGCACTTACACAGCGAGAAATTCATTGGGAATCAGAAAACAAGATAAAACATATGTAGTTTGCCTAAGCTATAATACATTATATAATGTTATAGAGAATTTAACACAAAATCAAAACAATCAGACATTTACTGGGTTTAAATGCATTCAAGTTGAATTCTCAAATCATCTGATACAGAACCAACGTAAATCATGTGGGTCAGAATTGCTAATAAAGGTCCTGTTACATAATGGATTTATCAGAAGGCCTAAAATGATATTTCTGATACTGTCATTGAAGTTCCAATTAATTATCATGTATTAGCGTCCGGGTATAGAAGAATCACTTCGAAAGTGGGTAAATCAGGATAGTAAAACTGGCCTATATTCTGACATTTATGATGGAGAAGTATGGAAAACCTTTCCATCTTCTCTTGACAACCCAAATTCCTGATTGTTTACTCCTGAAATAGCTGATTCTAATCTGAGTATAATGATAAATCTCGATTAGTTTCAGCCTTTCGAATCTTCTTTATACAGTACAGGAGTAATTTATGATGTAATCTGCAACCTTCCACGTGAAGTGAGATTCAGGAAGGAAAATATGCTCACTTTGGACCTTTTTCCTAGACCTCATGAAGTGAAATTACATAGGATTAATTATTATTTTAATCCTATTGTTAGTAAATTGCTAGAATTTTAGAATGGATATGATTTACCGATTTTAATCAAGTTTTCTAATGGAAAGAGAATAAGACTGGCAGTTATTTGCATCTCAAATAATATATTGACAGCTAGAAAATTGTGTAGGCACATATCGGCACTGGCTACATGTCATAGATGCTATAAGACTGCTAATGTTGATGGAAGAAAGCTTAATTTTGGTGGATTTGTAGATATAGATACTTGGTTCATACAAAAAGATCTTAATGAACATCGGAGGAATGCTAAAAATTGGTGAAAGTATAAATTAGAAGATGAAAGAAAATGTCATGCTTCAACTACATTAGTTCGATGGTCAAAAATGCTGAATTTGCCTTATTTTAACCCAATAATAAATCTTGTTATCGATCTGATGTACTGCCTTTTCCTCAGAATTGTGTATTGGATTATAAAAAGGTTATGGATTGATGGAGATAAAATTAGTAAAGCTGACCTTAAACTAATGGAGAAACGAGCAAAGACCATAAAATTATCCTCTGATTTAAGCCAGATTCCGTATAAATTGCGACTGGAGAAGGTTTTCCAGCTTTACAGCTGATCAGTGGAAAAACTTTATTTTGATATATGTGACTCTATTAATGTAGGATCTTTTGGGTGCTTTGGATCAGAAAATTTTGAACAATTTTGTTAGAGCTTGTACATTGCTTATATGTCAAATAATTGACAATGAAGCATTAAATGAAGCTCATTCCCGATTATTGATCATTGCTCTTCTGATTGAAGAAAATTATAGACTGGAGACAATAATACTAAGCATCTATCTTTTTCTCCATTTAGCTAAATGCTGCCGAGATTATGGACCTTTATACTCTTTTTGGTGTTATTCATTCGAAAGAATGAATGGAGTTTTAGGTAAGATTTTATAACGATTAATATTACATATTAAACAATGAA